ACATGGAAGATAAAAGAGGAGAGGAGAAGAGACGAGAAGAGAGGAGAGGAGAGGATAGGATAGGAGAGGAGAGGAGAGGAGAGGAGAGGAGAGGAGAGGAGAGGAGAGGAGAGGAGCGACTGCTCAGAGCAGCTCTGGGGAATCCTTCAGGCAGCCAGACGGAACGAACCTGCAGAGCCACAGCCCTGCCTGGCACAGGATCCCCTTCCTCACCAGCACAGACCTCTGACCGCAGCTCTGGGGAACCCTCCAGGAACCAGGAACACCGCGGTGCAGCCCCCCCTCCTGCCCCACAGCCCTTACCAGCTCCTTCCGTCGGCACGGCGTGGGGCTGCGGCTGGAGGCTGGGCTCTCGGGGACATCCTGGGCCGGGGGGGGGCGGCTGCCAGGGCTGCTGGGCTCCGAGGGGGGGTCCTGAGGAGAAAAGGGGTCTTTGTGGGGCAGGAACTGCAGCCCCTCCATGCCGGAGGGGGAGGATTTGGAGGCAAGGCCACCCGTCAGCTCTCGCTCCCCTATAAGCCTTCAATTAGGGCTGTGATTTTTATCACCACAATTACAGCACCGAGCAGTTTTTAATGTGCCGCTCTCCGCAGAACTCCCGGCTGAGGTTCCTTTCTGTGTTTTCTTGGGAAGTGACAGGAGGGGGAGGAAAAGAAAATAAAAAAAAAGAACAAAACGCTGCGTGTGCTGTCCATCCCCAGAGCCTCCATGGGAAAAACAAAAGGGACGTCCCCAAAAATACCCCCTGAGCTGCGCCAAGAGAGCAGCGCGAGTGTGAGGCGTCCGGTTGAGTGCTGGGGAAGGCGAGCAGAGGGGCTGCGCTCTCCTCCCCATATGGGATGCTGTGGGAGAGGAGCCGATGTGGGGCTGGAGGGCAGAGGGATGAGGCACAGCCCTTCAGCCATGCTCAGAACCAACCCCAGCTGTGCCAGCATCCCGCTGCACTGGGCCCCAGCACAGCAGCCCAATGAACCCCAAACCCTGCAGCCGGAGCCCTGCACCAGCTGGGAGCAGAGCACGGCACCCTGCAGGCAGCCAGGGCTCACCTCATCCACCACCAGGTTGTCGTCACTCTTGTCCCCGTCGCTGTCCTGCGCGATGGGAGAAATGCTTTGGTCAGGGCCCAAGGAAGAGGCCGCACCAGGCTCAGCTCTCTGCCCTGCACGTCCCTTCTGGCAGACCCCACGGGCAGCTCTGCCCCCCCATCTCCGTGGGGCTTTTCAGCTCGTCTCCTTGCAGGATTCCTGCCCCACACCCAGCAGCCCCACACTCACGTAACGCCCAGGCGGCTCCTTCTCCTCCTGGCTCCGCTTCAGCCCCATCTCCTCATCAGCAGGGCTCTCTGGAGATGCTGACACGCTCTGAGCAGATGACAGGAGGTGAGGGCAGGCAGCCGGCCCTGTGCCCCCCCACCTCCCCCCATCTCCTCCCACATTCCCACCTTTCAGCCCAAACCCACCCGCTCTGTTCCAACAGGGCCGTCCCTGGGGGCAGCTGCCCCACTGCAAAGCAGACGATCCATCTCACAGCACCCCAACCCAGCACAGCCCCCCGCTGTCCTCACACCCCCAAGGCACCGCTTACCCGGCTGGGGCTGCGCTCTGGAGCACAGGCAGGGCAGGCAGGTCAGCAGGGCAGGACAGGGAAGAGAAAGGGGCTGTCAGTGCAATGCCCATGGGGGGGGAGAGGGGGCACAGTGGGACAGAAGGGAGGCTGTGCTCAGTTTCCCACCTCGCTTCTGCCCCACATTCCCTCCTGCACACCTACGCCTCCCACCACAGCCTCGTGGCCATCAAGATTTTCCTTCAAGTCTCAACTTTAGGCAACAGATCCTCATCGGGGTGAACCCTTGCAGTAAGCAGGGTGGGGAGGGGGGGGGGTCTCAGGTCCACCCTCAGAGGGGGGCACAGGGGTGCAGAGGACCCAGGTGTGCACACAGCCAGGCACACAGCCCATGCTCTTGGGAGCCATCGCTGCAAGACAGCCACTCCCTCAGCCAAAAACAGAGCCAGCCTGGCAGGGCTGCAGATGTTTAAGGAGCTGGCAGCGTGCACAGCAGGCAGCAGGGCTGCCCCCAGCGTGCCTGGGATGTGGCTCAGCAGCAGAAGGGTTAATGCAGCTGTTCTCCATCCCTCACCTCTGCTCTCCTGCGCTGCTTTCTCCTCCTTGGCTGCCAGCTGTGACTGTGCCATCAGTGCCCCCGACAGGGCCAGCAGCCCCGCGGCCCCCCCCAGGCAGGCTGTGCACACCAGAGGGGTGGGGGGTCAGTGGCAGCTGGGGGGGCTGATGGGAGAGGTGCTGCAGCTGCTGCTGCTGGAGGGGGAGAGAAAGCAAACGGTCGTCAATGAGAGGAGGAGGCAGCAGGGCAAGATGCAGCAGGATGAGATGCGAGGAAGGAGCAGTCGGACAGGGGGGGGCTCTGTGAACACCAGCCAGCAGCAAACCCCCCTGCTGGAGCTCAGGGCTGGGCTCACTAAGCAATGAAGACCCCCCTCCGCCCTCCCCACTGCACACAGTGCGACTCACCCCCACGATGCTGTTGAGCTCTCCCATGGTGACCTGCTTGGCCCGCTCCACTGCCTGCAGGACCTGCTGCTGGTGCTGAGAGCAGGGCGATCAGCAGCGCTCCAAACCTCTCCCACCCCTCCAGCCTTGTTCTCTCCCCCCGACTCCCCCCTCTGCTCAGCATGGCACCACTTTGCCCTTTCCCAGCACATCCCCAGCTCACCTCCTGCGTCAGGAAAGGCACAATCTGGGCACAGATGGCACTCAGCCTCTTGACAATCTCTGCCTGGAAGAGGAGGTGGGGATCAGCCCCGCGGCTCTGCCCCCCATCCCTGTCCCCCATCCTCTACCCCCCAGCACAGCACCCGGTGTTTCCTCCCCACGGAAAGGCAGAAACCCCCAGAAACCCAGAAACCTCCCACCTCCACCCCAACCCCCCATCAGCTCCAGATACCCCATGATCACACACACAGCCAGGGGCCGACCCTCAGCACCCGTCCCTCAGTCACCCCCTGGGGACAATCCCACCGGGGTTAGGGGAGCACATGGGGCCGTGCCGCAGGGCTCTGCCAGGTTCCCCTGCTAACAAAAGGAGCAAAGGCAGAGGGGCTGAGCCAGCTGGAGGAGGATGGCAGTTGACTTGCCACTTTGTCAGGCATAGGTCCAAACTAATTTCCCTGGCACAAAGCCCGCGATGACTGGATTGATAAATCTGAAGAGGGAAAGCAAATTAACGCTGGAACAAAAGGGGAAGTGGGGAAGGGTGAAAACACTCCTCTGTGTTCGGGAAAAGGGAAGAAAGAGGAGAGGAAAAAAAATTAAGAAGAAAGCAGATATAAAAGGAAGATAATCTGGGCTTCAGCTCTCACTGTTTCCTGGGGCCACAGGGGGGACTTGGGGGTGGTGGGGTGTCTCTGCTCAGCCCCACAGCTGCCAGACCCCAGTGCAGGAACCCTGAGGGATGTGGGGAGGAGGGAGGTGATGTCCCACCCCGCTCACCTGTTTGTGCATCTCGATGTTCAGCCCGTAGGACATCTCATAGTACTGCAAAGAAATCACAGCGCGGCCACGTCGGGAGCTGCTGCCCCATTCCCTGCCCACTGCTGTGGGTCCCGGAGCAGCGTGGGTTCCAACTCAATGGGTCAATTCTGTGGGGCAGCTCCCATCCAGAGGGGGCTGTGGCATCCAGGGGAGGGGGCTGCAAGCTTTTTGGATGGGATGCAGCGAGTCTCACAGAGGTGCAGAATGAGAAGGAATGATGCTCCCATCCCATCCCCCTCCTTGACACAGAGGAGGCCCTCCAGCCCCACAGCTCCTGGGGGGCTCCCAGCACCCACCCAGGGCGCAGGAGGGGGGCTCCCAAGAGGCCAAATAAAAGGGAATAAATAAAATTAAGAGACAAACTCACGGCATCAACTCCCACCTGACTCCCAGCCTTCAGCGCAGGGTCCCGCGGTGGGGAGGGGCTGGGATTGAGGTCGTGAAGGGGAACCGGGGGGGGGGGGGGCTTCGGCGCGGCGGGGGGGGGCGCACCATGACATAATGCCGCTGCATCTCGGTCTTCTCGCTCAGCAGCTTCTCGCACTCCAGCTTCAGGCTGCGGAGCGGAGCGGCGGTCCTCAGTGGGGGGGCGGAGGGGAGGGGGGGGGACCCGAAACCCACAGCGGCGTCACCGCCGTTCCCTACGCCCCACACCCGGCTCAGCCCACGGAGGGGCAGCCAAGGGAACCCCGAGCCGCAGCCCCGCGCTCCGGAGCCCCGTCCACCTGTCGGCCCCTGCTTCCCCCCCACCTGTGGTACTGCGCCTGCAGGAACTGGAACTCCTCCTTGATCCGTTCGCAGATCTCCAAAACCGAGAACTTGAAGGGCTGCCCGGGCTGCGGGGACAGAGCACGGCGCCGTCAGCCGCACGGAGCTCCCGGGACGGCCCCGCTAAAGCCCGGCACTCACCGGGTGCCGCCCCTGCGGGAACATCCCCGCACCGCCCGCTCCCCGTAGGGGCACCGCGGCTCCGCTCCGTTCCGGTGGGGCGGATCACGTGACCGGACCGGGGCAGCCCGCGGAATCCCCACGGGGACAGCCCGGCGGGGGCGCGCCACGGGGCGGCGGGGAACGATTTAAGGTGGCGCGACCCCGCCGGCCCCGGAACGCGCCGGTACCGGAGGCTGCGGGAGTCCCGAGTGCCGCTCCACCTTAAGCAACCTCACGGCCCGCCGCGGCGGGGGCCGCGCAAGCTATTGGCTGCCGCCGCCAGAGCGCCAGCCAATCGTCGAGCTCAGCTCCCACATGGGTTCGTGACGTCGCGACCAATCGCGGCGGGCGGGGCGCCGCGGGGGCCGATGGGAGTTGTAGGCCGCCCGTCCTCCACGTGCCGCCCGCTGACCCCGCCCGGGGCGCGCACCGCCCGCCACCCCCGCAGCGCCACCGCGGCCGGGGCTCCGCTCAGCCCGGGGACAACGCGGCTCCGCAACGGCCGCACTGGGAGCGGTCAGCGCGAGGGGAGCGGGAGGGCGGACCATAGGCCCACCAGGCCTTGCGGCGGCCGCCGGCTGCCACTCAAAGTAACGTGGGGCGGTGGAGGAGTGTCGGTACCCCCCCCCCGGCCCCGCTGCCCGCAGAGACCCGGGAGCTGCGGGTGGGGGAGGGGAGGGCGGGTATCGGCATCTACATCGTAACGGGGGGTTAAAAGACATGTGGCAGGCGGGGGATGTGGGGCAGCGGCCGTAGGGGAGGGGATGGGGGGCAGGGGGCTGGAAACACAGGGCAGCAGCCATAGGGAAGGGAATATGGGGCAGGGAATGCAGAGGTGGAGATACAGGGATGGGGATATGGGGCTGGAGATACAGGGATCGGGATATAGGGCAGGAGACGTAGGGAAGGGGGTATGAGGCAATGAAGTGGGACTGCAGCCATAAAAGAAGGGATATGGGGCTGGAGATATAGGGAAGGGGATGTGGGGCTGGAGATATAGGGATGGGGATATGGGGCAAGGAAGTGGGGTTGGAGCCCTAGAAGAGGGGATATGAGGCTTGGAGACTTGGGGCTAGAGAAATGGAGAAGGGGATCTAGGGCAGGGGATGTGGGGCTGGAGACATAGAGAGGATGTGGGGCAGAGCTCTGGTGACACAAGGCAGCAGCCATAGGGAAGGGAATGTGAGACTGGGGACAGGGAAGGGGATATGGGGCTGGAGATATGGGGTGGGGATATAGGGCTGGAGACAGAAGGAAGGGGATATTGGGCAAGGAAGTGGGGCTGGAAGAGGGGATATGGAGCTGGGGATTTAGGGCTGGAGGCTGGGAAGGGAATGTGGGGCAGGGGACCTGGGGCTGGAAACATAGGGAAAGGGGCATGGGGTACGTGGGGCTGGGAGCTGGAGACATAGGACAGAAGACACAGGGAAGGGTACGTGGGGAAGTGGACACTGGCGGGGGACATGGGGCAGGGGACACGGGACTGGAGCAGACATAGGGAAGGGAATATGGGAAAGTGGGACTGGAGACATAGGGAAGGGGACGTGGGGAAGGGGATGTAGGACAGAGGGCAGCAGACATAAGAAGGGGAAGAGGACACTGCAGGCAACGTGGGACTGGAGACATAGGGCAGGGCATGTGGGGAAGGGGCACGGGGCAGCACGCACAGGGAAGGGGGCTTGGAGAGGAGGACAAGGGGCAGAGGACATCAGGGCAGGGAACGTGGGGCCACAGACACGGGGAAGAGGATGTGGGGAAAGTAACACAGGGCTGGGGGAGCCGCAGGGGGGGGCGGGCGTTGAGTTCCCCCCACAGCAGGGAAAATGGGCAGAGCAGCCTGAGGAGGTTTGTGGCCACGCAGTGGAGGTGCAAAACTGGGATCACCCAAGCGAAGATTTGGGTTTTTCCCTGCATGGCCTCACACCCGTTGTGTTTGCTGGACCCGTGGACACCTTGTCACCGCGTGGCTGTGGGCTGGGGGGGGGCACAGAGGGGTGTGGGAGCCCTGTGAGCAGCCCAGCAGCTGACAGCCCCCATCGCTGGCGCTGCCTTCGATCCGTGTGTTGGCTCCTGTTTGCACTTACCGGCTCTGAGTGGTTTTTAATTATTGATGCCTCTTTTAGCTTTTATCTTGTGCTCGCTGCAGCCAGGAAGGGCTTGGCGTTCCTGCATTAGTGATGAATTGGGAAGGAGGCCCTGCTCCACCGCGCTGCAAAGCATTCCTGGCTTGCAGGCTTGTGCCATTGTTTCAAGCAAAGCTGTGCTGAAAAATGAAGAGGTTGGGAGCCAGGAGGGGGGAAGCGATGGAGGCAATCCCCGCTGTTCCCACAGCGATGCAGGGGAGGAGGAAACGGCGGGGGATGGCAAAAAATAAAGCGAGGAAACCTGCCTGACCCAGCGAGGAACTGGCAGCCACTCACCTCGCCGGGGAGGAAAGATGCCATTTTGTCACCTCTCCAGCGACAGGCAGGTGGCCGGGGGGGGGGGGGGGGGGAGGGCCGCGGGGGCCCACCAAGTGCTGCAGGCAGGAATCGATGTCAGGTCAGGGCTGGAGGCTCTGTGGGCTGCACATGGGCTCCCCGTCCCCCCCAGACAAGCCGCAGCTCTGTGGAGCTGTTCCAAGGAGCCCTGTGCCAGCAGCGCTGGCTCGCGGCCTCTCTGCCCGCATGGCTCTCCCACTCTCGTACCACATCCTCAGGAGCGGTTTGTCTGCCAGGAGAAGGTCTTCAATCATCACAGATCAGCAGCACTTTGGGGACCCCGTGTCGCTCGCCGCCCGCGTGCCTCCAACCTCTCCTGCCAGGGCAGGATGGGCTGGCAGCTCTGCGCTGGGAGTTACGAGGCAAAGCAGCCCGTCTGGACACAGCAAGGCTGCTTCCTCCGGTCTGCAGCTACGAGGAGAGTCAGAAGGGGATTTCTAACCTTTTTTTAACCCTCTTTTTTTTTTAATTTGAGCCCAACTCTAGCAAGATTCCCCACGGAACGGGGAGATCGGAAACAAACCCAACGCAGGGAACCGCAACGCTGCCTGGTCTGGGGGGGGGGGAGCCCCAGAGAAATGCCTTGAGTGCAAAGCCAGCGTGCTCCGGGAGCAGAGCACAAGATCCAGCATCTGCTGGGAGGTGCGGGGGATTTGGAGAGCCTGAGAGCTCTGTCTGTGTGCTTTGAAGCAGGTCAGCCTCCCGCGGGGAGCAAGGAAGTGCCAGCAGCCCGGCCGGGAGCGGCTCGCAGCCCGCCGGCAGCCAGGGATGCTCAGCCAGCAGCCTCGTGGTTTGTTCGACCCTTTGCCCACCGAACCGAAGCTGCTAATTAGCTCTAACAACAGGGACGTCTGTTCCTCTGAAGTCTCCGGCCTGAAAACGCCCCAGACCAATTTCTCCTAAATCCTCCTCCCCTCGCACATCCATCAGGAATAACATCCACTTACCGTGCTCCCTGCCCCCAGGCTGAGTCTGAACCGCTGACCTCGAGGTGAAAGCGCTTGAAAAGCTTCGGCCCTCCCCGCAGCCAGCAGCGCTCCCAGCGGGATTTTCAGCAGCGCTTACGGAGCACAGGGACTTTTAGGGACTTTTAGGGACTTTTAGCAACCACCGTTCGGCGGCAGCCCCCCGGCCCGGAGCCACGCCGCCCTTTCACACGGGAAACCCCCTGCCCAGCTCTGGCCGTGCCCTGGGAGCGGCAGTGGGACCTGGGGTCAGGCTGCAGCTACCCGTGCTGCTCTCAGCTCAGCCCACGCAGCGCTGGGGGAACGCCGGGCTTCAGCCCCGTCCTTGGGCTCGGGTAGAGAGAGCGCTGCCTCGTCATCTGTGGGCTCACGGCGCTCTGGGCTCTGAGACCCCTAAAGGCCCACGGCCCCATAAGCCACCTGATGCTGCCCGCAGCCCCATCACCCACCAAAGGCTGCAGGACCTGTCGTTCACCAGGGCCGCATAACCCAACCAAGGCCCCATAACCCACCCAAGGCTCTGTGACCCCACCTGATGCCCAGGAGCTGTGACCCCCCCCCCCCCGAGCCCTATAACCCACCTGATGCCCAGTAACCCACCCAAGACCCACAGCCCCATAACCCACCAAGGGCTGATGGCCCCATAATCTACCAGGACCTGCAACCCAAATGAAGACCAGATCCCTGCAATCCAGCCGAGGTCCTGGGTCCCATAGCCTACCCAAGGCTCTGTAACCCCACCAAGGCCCACAGCCCCATAACCCACCTGATGCCCTGTAACCTGCCCACAGCCCCATAATCCATCAAAGACAGCAGACCTTGTAATCTACCCAAGGCCCAGGACCCCATAACTCACCCAGGGCCCTGTAACCCCACTGAGGTCCATGGCCCCATAACCCATCGACTGCAGGTCCTGCAACCCACCCAAGGCCCCATAACCCAGCCAAGGCCCAAGGCACTGTAAACCCCAAGACCCCCCAACCCCCCAGCGCCCCACAACCCCCATAGGCTGCAGACCCTGTAACCCCATCGAAACCCACAGCTCCACGCCCCATATGGGACTGCAGGCCCTGTAACCCAGCAGAGCCTTCTAACCCACCCCAAGACCACATAACCACCCCATGGCCCTGCAGCCCCCCAGCACCCCATAACCCACAGGCCCACAACCCCACTGAGCCTCAGGCTTCCATCCAGATCCCATATACCGGCGCCCCCCGCCCCCCCCCCCCCGCGGGGGGGGGGGGGGCGGAGCGCGGGGGGGGGCGCCTCAGCCCCCTTCCCCAGGGGAAGGAAATTCTCCCACTCCAGCTGGCCTGGGAGATACCAGAGGAAGATGTTATCAGGACAGGCTCGCTAACCAGAGGACGGCTCTAATTATTAAGAGCCAATTCTATTACAGCCATCACAGCCCTGAGGCAATGGGGGGCCATGCCCTCCTGAGGGCCCCCCCCCTGACAGCATTTCTAAGCAAGAAAACAGGCAGCACGTCACCATCTTAACCAACCTTCTTATTTCTTTATTTGAAAGGCACAGCTTGTACGTCCTTGATACAGCATTTTCAGTTCCTCTTATTATAGGTCAAGTGATTAAACACAAAAAGCAAAACGAGATCTGTCTAAAGGACTATATACAAACACCAGATTATTATTTAGTTTTATTCTTCTTTCGTCGTCATCGTCGTTCCATTTTTTGTATTATTATTATTATTTCTTTTTGTTTTGTAGACACGCTAGCGCACGGAGATAAGAACAGAGAAAGCTGCTGTATCCTCTACAGGGGGGCGTGGGGAGGGGACCGGGGGGCTCCCAGGCACCCGAATGCCCCCCAGCCACCCCCAAGCTCCCAGCCCCCCCAGCAGTGTTCTGCCAAGGGGGGCGGGCAGCAGGACCCCCCCCCAGCCCGAGAAAACCCGGCTGGACACATGGAACTGCGGCGGTTGCTGCGGGACTGGTTAAAAACAGAGACATGCAGAACAGCGAGGAGCCGGAGAGGCGAGAGGGGTTGGGGGGGGGGGGGGCTTTTGGGGGGAGGGGGAGGAGGGGGGGTCGTTGGGGCAGGGAGTTGTGCAGAAACCTGTAGGACCGAGGGTCGTCGTTAAATACCGAGGGGAGCAGTGGGTGCAGCGCCCCCAGAACAGAGCCGGGCTGGGGGGCACAGAGCGGCTGCCACGGCGCTGCCCTGGGGCGCTGCTGCCCTGCGGCTGCTGCGTCTGGCACGGACGTCCCCCCACACCCAGCAGCCCCGACCCCTTCACTCTAATCTGATTTCTCCCCATCGTCGTCTTGGTGGGCGTCCCCGTCGTGGCCGTTCTTGTCCTCCTTGGCCAGGTGAGCCTGGGAGCCCAAGGCCGAGAGCGAGAGGAGGCCGGAGCCGGCGCTGACGGCGGGGAGGGATGGGGGCTGCAGCCCCACGGGCAGCGGAGTCAGAGGCAGCGCCAGGGCTTGGAGCTGCGAGAGCTGGTGGGCTTGGAGCTGCTGCTGTAGGGAACGAGGGGCGGGTGGGGGTGGGAGGGGGCAGCTGTCACTGCAAGGGCACCTGAGCCCCCTCCCCCAGCCCCAAAGCCCGGCTGCCCCCTTGGGAGCACCCACAGAGCACCCAGCCCCGGCGGCCCCCCAGCGCGTCCCCTGTGGAACGCAGCCCCCCAGCCCACAGGATGCCTGGCCTCGGCTGCTGGCACGTTCCGAGGATGCGGTTAAACCCCTCTCAGCCTTGACTAGGAACAGATGGTGTTTTCACAGCAAAGAGCTGCTGCAGCTCCTGCCCCAAACCAAAGCCTCTCTCCTTTTATGCTCTGCGGGGCAGAGCACAGCCTGCGCTCCCTTGTACAGCCAAGCAATGCTCCAGCGAGCCTGGACAGAACCAGCAGGGCCATCCCAGCACCCACAGCCCACCCCGGCCCCCTGGGCGCACCTTCAGCTCTGCCAACACAGGCACTGACCCCGTCCCCCCACACCCAAACTTAAACATGCACCACGTACACGGATGATGGAGTTCAGCTCCGGTGCCGTCACCTGCTTGGCTCGTTCAATGGCTCCCAGGACTTGCTGCTGGTGCTGGGATGGGGAAAAAGAGGAATCTGGCATCATTAAAGGCTTAAGGAAGGAGGACAGGGATGCAGCGCACACATCCACCCTCCTGCTCCATCCTTGTGGCCACACAGTCCCAGTCACTGTGCTCACCTCAAGGCGGGCTGCTCCTTCTACCCTGCCCAGCCCTGACATGGCACCAGACCCCCCAAAAAGCAAAAACAAATCAAGCCTCGGAAATCAGAAGCTCTTGGGCAGCTCCCCAGCCCCTGGGATGTGCCCCAGGCTCCAACCTGGAAGGTGCTGCTGCGGATGAGCCTTGCACACCTCCAGACAGAGGCAGGAAAAAGAGCTGTGCTGAGCGCTTAAAACAAATAACGGATGGCTGCATTCGCTCCCGTGAGAGCACGAGGTCTCCCAGCACCAGGCCTGAGCACCTCGTTGCTGCCAGCAGTGTTTTCTTTCTGTCTTGGCAGAAGGACAGGGCCAGGGAGGGGGAACGTGTCGCATTAAGAAGCAAAGGGTTTAGCTGGGGCTTAGTTATCAGCCACCGCTGATCTGCTCAGCAAGCCACTTTGCCTTCCCCCAGAGCAGGTGGGCAGCAGCAGCATGGCCTGCCCCCCCCCCCAAAGCTTATCCAGGCCCCAAAATGCAGCCCCCCACCCCACAGCCCCTGAACAGCCACCCCAGGGCTCAGCCTGAGGGGCAGCACAAGGACAGACATCACGCTGAGGGGGCTTCAGCAGCTCCCCCCTTCTCCTGAGCCCTCCCAATTAATTTCTCAGGGGAGTGGGAGGAGCCCATCAGCCACATTAATTAATGAGGCAGAGGAACCTGGTCTCCAGGAGCCATATGGAGGTATTTTTTAATGTTCAGCCATCCACCACTGCCTGCACTCGGTCAGAAGCAGCTGGGAGTCACGGGAGCAGGGTGAGAACAGAGCCCAGTTTGTCTGCAGCTGCCCCACAGAGGGGACAGACAGACAGACAGACCCACCAGTCCCAGCACAGCCTGGGGGCTGGGATGTGGGCTTCAACCTATCCTGAAGGGCTCGTCCCGCATGGAGCAGGCACGGGTGGAGAGGAAGCAGGGCACCAGCACCCCAGGGCTCCTTCGTGCCAGAGCCTCCGAGCCGGGTGCTGAGGCAGTTACCTCCTGTGAAAGGTAGGGCAGAACCTGTGCACAGATCCCATTGAGCCTCTTGACGATTTCAGCCTGGAGAGGGGAAGGAAAAAAACAAACAACAGAGAGGAATGGCGTGAGGGGATCCCACAGCACCCATCCTGAGCACGGCCTGCAGCAAGAACACGCGTGCTGGAGGGAGCCCAGTGTGAGTGGGGGGACACCTCAGCCCCCAGATGCTGAAATAAATCAGAGCTGCTGACAGCAAGGAGCGAGTTCTCAATATTCTCTTCCCTCTCAGGGTCTCCAGTGTTCATTTAATGAAGTTGGGAGCAACCAGAGAGAAAATTTATTACAGACCTGGGTGGGGATGTGCAGAATTACATCCCCCGTGCAGATACAGGTGGGCTGTGGCTGTGACCCTCACTTTGCTGGGATCCTCAGCCCCCCCCCGTTACCCCCACAGGCTGACGCAGAGCACAGGGCTGGGGGCAGCTCCTGCATCAGAAGCAGGCAGCAAATTTGGGGTGCATTAAGGCTTTTTGGCTGGGGAAGAGCAGAGCAGCCAGAGTTCTGCAGCTTACCCTCTAACAGCCCAAAGGAATAGGGGAAAGAGAGACCCAGGGGGTTTGGCAAGCGCTGCCATGGGCTGGGAGATGGCAGTGAGGAGCCGTGGCCCAAATCCTGCAGCTTGGCCAAAAGATTTCCCTCCCAAGGTGATGGGATCGGAGGCTCTGAGTGCATTTGCAGGGAGCAGAATGGTTCTAAGAGGCTTTGAGCCAAGCTGGGACACACGCAGATGACTGCGACCAAGAGCTAAAGGAGCTCACATTGTTAACAGCACAGGTAATTAGCCACTGAGATACTGAACAGCTGAACCACCAGCGAGGGGAACCAACAAACTCAGCCAGGCTGCAGCAGAGCTTCTACCACTGACTGCATCTGTGGGCTGGGGGACAGGATGACCCCCTTCACCAGCCCAGGCAGGTGTGCAGCCAGAGCCAAAGCACCCCCAGGTGGATCCCACCTTCCAGAAGGGTTTGTAAAGGCAGTTCTTTGCCAGGATGATGGATTTTTTTTTTTTCCCTCCCAGCAAGAAAAGATGTTTTTATAAGGTCAAAGGGTGGAAAAAATGTGAAGGTCCTCCCCCACGCCAGAGCTGGCGATCCCCAAAGCAGCGCTGACGTTTGACATCCTGAAATACCACCGAAGGGACAGAGGGCACAGCACGCAGCCCGCCCTCCCCCTCCCCGTACCTGTTTGTGCATTTCAATATTCAGCCCGTAGGACATCTCGTAATACTGCAGAGAGGGAAGAAGAGAACAAACAGACAGAATCAGGACTCCAGCAGGCAAAGAAACCCCCCTCCATCCGTGCCTTCCTCCTGCCCGCAGCTTGCTCCAGCCCAGGTGGGACCTCAAACAACCCAGAGCCACTCAGCACCTTCGCAGAGCCCCGGCACGGCGCTGAGAGCTCAGTGCTCTGCAGATCCCCGCTGGGAAGAGGCACAGCCCGGCTCTGTTTGCTGGGCCTGGCCCATCTCCTAATGCCCGCGTGGCTGCTCCAGCAGCAAATGGAAGGGCTCAGCACTGGGCCCCAGCTGCACGCAGCTCCAGCTGTTTGGGAAGGAGCTGCACGAAACGCACACGCAAAACCCACCCCCCTCACACACACCAGCAACAGGCAGCTCCAGTGCGAGCTATTGGCAGGAGAAGTCGATTCCTGACCCGTCCAAGAGCTGCTCTTAAGGCTGATTCGAGCACTTCAGAAATCTCCTTATCTTTCCTCCTCTCAGTTCTTCCAAAGGGGGAAAGAAGATCCACGTCTGCGCTCGCTTCCTTCTGAGACGAGCAGATTGCTGCTGCTTTGGTCTCAACCGCGTTGCTCTGCCTGCTCCCACATCACTGCTTCTCTGCATCCTGCAGCCCGAGTGGGAAGCAGGAGCACCACGCTGCTCACCAGGGCTTGCTCAAGAAGCAGAGCAGCTCTGCACACACACAGGAGCTCCCTGCATGCTGGGCAGGACCCTGCGGTGCCCAGATCACCAATTCTGGTGGTAGGAAAGGTTAAAAAATGACCACCAGGCCTCCAGGTTTGGCTGTGTGAGCATCCATGCTGCACGGAGCAAGAATTTATCGGTGAGAAAAAGGCAGAATGAAGCAGGGGGCTCCTCCATGCACTGAGCAGCTCTGTGCCAGGCGTGCTGGGCTCGGGGATGGGACCCACAGATGGCTCAGGAGGACGGGAAGGCTCCACCGTGCCTGGGTTTCTATTTTTCCATCGATTTCCGCATCCCCCCGCTTCCTGCCGGGCAGCACAAGCACCAGCCCCTCTTTATGGACACTACAACATCCCATGAAAGCAGCTCTTTCCTGGCAGATTCCTCCTCAGGATCCCAGCAGGGCACCAACTCCACAATCCCTCCACCCCAAATGCACCCCAGCGACCCAGCACACAGGGCCCAGGGCGCGAGCAGCTCCGTGTGCAGGAGCCCAGCAGCAGCAGCAGCAGCAGCACCTGCTCCCCACCCGTGCCACCCACACTCTGCCCCAGCAGCTCCTCACCATGACGTAGTGACGCTGCATCTCCGATTTCTCGCTGGCGAGTTTGTCGCATTCCAACTTCAAGCTGGAAAGGCAGAAAGAAGTGAGAGAACCAGGAGGGCAGCGGGTCGCATCCTGCGGGGTCCATCCCTGCCTGCTGCGTGACCCCGTGCAGCTCAGCGACCGGCCAGAACCTTTTTAGGGGAAGCCCAGTGCAAGCCTCCAGAATGATGGCTTTTCCCCTTTCCTTTGGGTTCTTTGCACCCTTAAGAGCAGACGTGCTGCTCGCTGTGCTTTACGCTGCTCCCCAGCCCGGCAGCTGCAACCAGCATGTGCTGTGGTTTTATGTTTCAAACGAGAAACAGCTTCATCTCCACCAAACCTGCTGCTCCGTGAGCAGATCGGGTCCTGCAGCACAGAGGGGGGGTCAGGGCACAATGCTGCACGATGCTGAGCCCGGGGGGGGTGGGAGCAACGGGGCACAGAGCAATGGTTTGGTGCATGCGTGCAGCTCAAAAGCAAACAGCAAGAGAGCCCATCAGCAGCCAGCTTTTGGGTCAGCAGAAGCCATTCCGCAGGCGGAAAAGCGGAAGCATTTGGCTTTAAGTGCTCCCTGCAGCATTCGTGATCCAAGAATGGCAGCCAGCAGGGAGAGGGGAGGAAAACTCCCAGCGAGAGGCGGGAGGGCTGGAAGAGCTGCACACGGGAGGGCTGGCAAAGCCGTGCACAGCGCTGGCTGAGCCGCGCATGGGGGGAAGACCTGGCTGGGGGTGGGGGTGGAAGGAAGAGCGTTCTCTCCTTCCAGAATCCCATCTTTCGGGGGTGGGCAGAGCGTTGCCCTGCCTGGATTGCAGCTTTTGGCCAACGCTGGGCCAGACTGCACGGCCGGGTCCCCTCCTGGTCCTCTGCCAAAGGCAGGCAGCAATGGGTGAACACCGGGCCTCCCCCCGGGATGCTCACGGCAGTCTTCCAGGTGGGACACGGAGGCGATAGCAGGCTGGAAAGGCTGCGCACGGGGGGGAAATCCAGGCTGGGAGGGGAGGGCAGAGCATTCTGCTGCACGGAGCCCATCTTTTGGCCACCGAGGGGCCACGCCGCGTCCCGCTCCGTGCAGGGAAGCGATGCCAAAGCGGACGATCCCAAGTCTGGGTGCACAGCGGACCCCCCCGGGATGCTGGGGGCGATTTCTGGAGGCGGTTACCCGACACGTACCTGTGATATTGGGCCTGCAGGAGCTGAAACTCGTCCTTGATGCGGTCGCACGAGTCGGAGGTGGTGAACTTGAGCTGCTGCGGCAGGTGAGAGGAGCCCTTGAACAACACACACAGCGCTGCACACCCAACGGGGGGCCCACAGCCCTGCCCACCCCCCAACCGGAGCCTGCCGCCACCGGGACCGCCGCCGCCCAAGGTCACCCGCACCCCCCGCTGCCGTCCCCGGTGGCTGCGGGCGGGGAGGAGGAGGAGGACGAGGAGGAGGAGGAGGCAGCTCCCGGTGCTCCCCCCATCCCTCCCTCTTTCCTTCCTTCCTTCTTTCCTTCCTTCCCTCCTTCCTTCTCCCGGTGCCGCCGTACCGAGTGTCGGCTTTGTGGAAACATCATGTCAGGCTGCAGCCCGGCTCACCGCACTCAGCGGTCCACCGCTCCACCGCACCGCTCCGTTCCCGGTTTGTTTGCTTTGCTTTTTTCCCCCCCCTTCCTCCTCCTCCTTCTTTTCCTCCGCCTTTGTCCGCGCCGGGCCCGGCCCCGCGGCCGCCCCGCGCCGCTCTGCCCCGAGCCGCCGCCTATTGTCTAATGGCGGCTGCGATCCGCTCCGTCCTGCGGCTGCTCGGCACCACCTGCCGCCCCGCCGCCGCCTCCCCGGGCCGGGCGGGCCCACGGCCGTCTCCGCCCCCGCCGCGATCCGGGCGGTGCGGGGCGCTGAGCCGCCCCCCCCCCCCCCCCCTTCCCCGTTCCTTCCTTCCTCCCTTTTCTTCCTTCCCACCCCCCGGCCGTGATGCTCGGCCGCTCGGACCGCGCTCCGTCGGACGTTCCCTGGCTTTGGGGTCTGCTCTGCGACGGAGAGCCCCGCACCTGCTGCGGGAGCGCCGCGGGATCGGAGAAAGGCTTAGAGTGGGGGGGACCTTAAAGATCGTCC